GACCCTCACTTTTTAAGTCAACTTGTTTAGCTGAAGTGTTAGGGTGAAGCATCCACGCTATTTGGTACGCCATCGTGTCACATCCGTTAGTTCGTGTACGGTACCCAGCTAGTTAGACAATCATCTCGCACTCAGATTTGGTCTCGAAATATATCTCGTATTTTGGACGGTCAATTTTGGTATTCTGCTTTGCCTTTGGTCTACGCAGAATGAACACTATAGAAGTTGTGGGTGCCAGATCTTGCGTTAGTATACTTCGTACCATCCGTGAAGGTCAATACTGTCAGCCTGCAAATGTCCGTGATGTGTGCCTTCTTTCCCCATTTTTTAAAAATTTTATCGTAGATAACCTTAAGTAATGACTTCAGCGACTCAGGGTTCGACTTGTTACTAATGAATGATCTCGTTGACTTAGAATATACAGATGATATAGTCCTCCCTTCTAAGTGAAGACGCTAACAAAGTGCAGAGTCTTCTGGACACATTGATAGGGATGGAAGTGGTGGAGAGTGTCGACCAGTTCACTATTTTGGGAAATCACATTAGCCAACGCCAGCGGGTTAATCGCCGACGAAATCTCAGCACGGATACGGAAGGCTTTTCTGGCATATGTCAACTTGCGCCATCTCTGACTTAGTAGAAGTGATATCCGCCTGGCCGTTGACTAAAAGGCGCGTGTACTACTTTGCAGTCCTCTTAGACCTTCCTTATGTCCGTAAGTCAGACTTGGCCATCAAAAGTGGAAGACTTGAACAGTCCAACTAGCTGTCTATGATCATAGGAGCCTGCGTTCTATCTCGCATGCTAAGTGCCATCATAAGGTGAGCAGTACTGAGGTCAGGCCTTGGTAGAGAGCTAGGTAAGGAGTGGAAGTCAACCGATGTGATTTGGAGGGTACACTGATTGAGACGTTTTGGAAGTGTGTTGCCACGCCAAGCCATCGCCTTCCTCCGATGACTAATGTTAGCTGACAGAGAATCAGTTTGTAAAAGAGCCAGTGGTGGTAAAAATGATATCAATCACTGAAATCCACAACAATTAGTTTAAGCCAGCCACGTAAGGAGGTGTAGACTTCCCGACTGTTTAAGGTCCTCGGGATGGTTAGAAGCAATGGGTGGAGACAATCGTTGATTTGGATCAAAATAGTTCTCAATATCGCAGGTGGATTTACTCTCTGTGACTTATCATATCCAATAAAATTATATTGTTCTTCCGAACTACTATTCACTTTGCCGAACATTTCTGTTTATTATCTCTTTTAAAAGCTGAAGTTTTTGGCGTTCACGGAGAGCACAAATAATTCTAACGCAAGATCTAGTATCCACAACTTCTATAGTATCCATTCCGCGTAGTCCAAAGGCAAACCAATACACCAGAATTGATCGTCCAAGTTATGAAGTATATTTTGAGACCAAATCGGAGTGTGAGAATGATTGCTTAACTAGCTAGAGATCGTCCACGAACGAATGAACGTTACACGATAGAGTGGGAATTGCGTGGACGCTTGATCTTTAGCTTTCAGCTAATCAAATTGGCTTATAAATTAAGGGTCAGCACCCAATGTTCAGTGGTTAATGCTTTGTCTAATAATTCTTGGGGAATACTCACCACTACACTCTATTTACTCTCTTATCTCGCCTTTTGTGGAACATGGAGGTGACATTTCGAAATGGTTTACGTATTTGCAAACTTATACTCTGAAACCAGTTAGGCATATATAAACTTCATTTAACATATTATAGACGCTTCAACGCTGTTTTTCTGTTGATCGATTATATTTAGAAATTATATCACATCTTATTACACACCAAAGTGCGAATTTCGTTCTCACATCTTGGGTCTAACAGGGAATTTAAAAGTCAGCTTCATGGCTTTGGTACATATGCATCTTTGGCCCATCTTTAAAAGTAAAACAGTTACTTTGGATCAGGGTAATTTGAATTTATAATGTGATCCCACAGTGGTTAGGAATCTCGCCGACCATGCACATGGTCCGGGGTTCGATCCCCTGCCGACGCACACCCGATATCTATGGTCGGCCTGCAAAATTTGGGCTACCGATATCCATGCTGAAAGTTCCATACTTGTACTGAAAATACGGTGTGGAATCAAGCTGTAAAATAAAAAATTTAAAAAAATAAAGTCATGACTGACTATGTATTACTCAGCGTTTCTCTGTCCAGCATCGTTTTCAAAATGCCTTATAATAAACTCATTTTCATGTAAAAAGCACAACAGAATGAGTTTACGTGAAATACATGCCATTTTTATAGGCACGACCGGTTTTGTTATAGGTTTCAGTGGTCAAGTGCAGCATATTAGCACTCTTCAAAAGTCTAAATCGTAATTCTTAGTGCAAACGACCGGAAATAGTTCGTATAGGACTTAAACTGTATATATATGGACCCCTCTCAAATGTCACAATCACGATTGAGAACCAACTCAAGCTGCATTTCGTTTCTTGCTGATAGTTATGGCAAACGAATGATCGTGTAGTTGCTATTTCTCTGTGTGATTATAAACTACATCAGGGATAGAAAAATGCCCTAGAAAACTCCAAAATGGTATAAAATTTAATAAGGGATAACTCATTGATGAATGTAAATTTATAGAATATAAACAAGAAGAAGCTGCAGTCTCCTTGAAATGACAGTATATTTACAGTTTGTAATGCATTTATAATAATATTTATTTATTCCTATCTATGTAGAACACACCAGTTTTACAGGCACGGGTAAGTATTACTTAAATTACATAAGTTTGATTTATGGTGGAATTAAATGGTTGCTGTCTTTTTGAAATTAGTTTGTGGGTACAATCTGCAAACTAGTCATTCAGTGGAGCACATTAAGAAATATAGAATTATTTTCTTCGCATTAACAAAATACCCAAGTATGTGTTGGATGGATTACATATATACTAGAAAAAAATAAAGCCTGAAGTCAATTCTTCCATTCAACTCTGTTGTGTGTGGTGTCGTATCTTGTTATTGATTATGTTCAAATTAGGTAATAATTTGAAATAAGTGATTTATTTGTATGATTTTGTCAGCATTTTTATCATAAGTAACACCAGATGTGAATTCTACTGAACGCAGATCAACATTGGTTATTGTCACGCAGATTTGTTTCAGGTGGGCCAGCCTAAAGAGTCAGCACATAGTGTGACTGGAGCTCAGTTTTGGCTGGATTGGTGCATATCAATCGTAAGCGCTATATCTAGTCGAAACAAACTGGGAACGAGTTCAAAATCATTCAAGCAGTTTAACTAACTGGATTCCTAGAATTGGTAAGCCTGATGTGATACTATGCTATGGTGGCACAGTGGTAGAGTTCTCGCCGACAACGGATGTGGTCCGGGGTTCGATCCCCAGCCGACGCACTCCTTTACCTCGGTAAACCAGTAATAAGACTGATAAAGAGGAAAGGTTGGGCATGAGGCTAGCAACCCCATCCTTTAAAATGAACATTGCTACAGAAACTTCAAGTTTGAGGCTTGAAGCCCAATGTTCCGCAGGGAACGTAAAGGAATAAAAAAAGGTACTATGCTGACTCAGACCCTTCTTACTCTATATTATCTAATGCCTACTATGTCACACCGTCGTGTTCCCTGCCATCAGCTGCACCTGATCATTGATCCTGGGGAGTCAAAAAGTGTCTTCTGTTCTACTACTCCTATTTCGTCGGTAAAACTTCCTGACAGCTATTCCAAATCAATTCGATGGAAGCACACAAACTTGTTCCCAGTTTGTTTCGACTAGGTATGACGCTTATGATTGATAAGTGGCTACCAATCCTGTCAGAACTGAGCTCCAATCACACTACCTGCTGACTCTCAAGGCTGACCCAACTTCACTTACGAAATCTAGTAAAATCTGATGGGCACTTTGCAGCAGAGATAAGCGGCTGTTTCAGTCTTTGACGTTCGCAACTTACGAATACCTCCTGTTTACTAAAAGTGGTCATTTCACTGACACTTACCAAATACACTTTCTTCCCTTTGTCTAGCTTGTGGCGTAGCTTTTACAGCTGTTATTTTTTAAAAAGCTCTTCCTTGCAGACAACCTATTGTGGGTTAACATCAGCGGTCATAGTTTGAAAACGACTTAGATCGCCGTTTATATAGCCCTTTTCATTAAAACCAACTAGGTTACAGACTGTTAGAAATATATAGGCAAAAAATATTCACTGAAACCCGTCGTGTAGGATTCAGTTTATGAGGATGTTTAAAAACCAGCGAGACAGTGCTTCCAGTAACTACGTGTTAAGTTGGCATAAAATGTATTTATAGTTATTCCCTTTCTCTCATCATGGCAGAAGTGAAAAACGGTTAATGAGGGATCATATTTGAATGTCAAATTGGTATATACTAGATCGCAAGAAAGATACCGCATTACTTAACCAACATTTCTACTTTGCATACTTAGATGCACAAAATCTTGAATAAGTTAAAAAATTCGCAAATCACTGCGAAATTAGCATAGGTAGCGTCCGACTAATTATCTAGATAAAATTTGCCAGTCTCCGCAGATGTTAGGTTTGTTTTAGCTATGAAAATGCTTCGCAGATAACATCACAACACATAACTACACATAGATGAAATATAATACCTCCAGAGAATTTTCGCTTTTGAAATTCACATGTCAGTTCCTCTCCGACTACAACTATCTGATTTAAATGTACACATTACACTATTTTATTTCAATTTCTTAACCACTTCTATTTCTGTTAGTGTGCTTCTTTCCTGTTACTTCTAATGTCTGTCTGTGATTCCAGTGTACCACATTGTCGTACACCCAACGCTTCTGTCCAACATTCTGTTTGATTAGCCAATCTCTCTATATTGTTTATTGAAATGGACGGTTAATAAACGAGAGGTGAACTCCGACAAGTCACAGAATTTATAAAACTCATTGGAAATGAGAGGCCTGGAAATTTGTTAAAATCAGGTGTTTTAGATATTTACATGCGACCTCGAGATTAATTCACAATTACGAAATCATGGTCGACATCTTGTTCATCAACAATCTAGCTTTGAAAGCTGGCGAGGTATGGTTCATGACATTATAATTCTATTCATTCTGAAAGATGATCGAAGCAAGTTTTTCCAAAGATACTCCTTTTGACAAGAAAGAGTCATATGCTGACTTGGTAACAGAAGTTGATAAGGCTGTTGAGAATTTCATTTGCAAAGAAATTTTAACAGCGTTTCCAACTCACAAGTAAAGGTGTGTATTTTACCCTGCCTTGTATTCAGAATAATTGCAGAGGAAGCGTACTCTGGAAATGCTCAACTTACATGTTCACCAACTTGGATAATTGATCCTATTGATGGAACGTCTAATTTCGTTAGCAGGTAACACAGCTTTATTTTAACTTCAGATTTCCATTTGTGTGTGTTTCTATTGCCTACTATGTTAATAAAGAGGTATGTTTCCTATGCATTCGACTTGTTTAGTGGATAGCCTGAGCTTGCCGTCGTTTATAATCCGATTTTAAAGTGGTGTTTCCATGGGATTCGCAGTCAAGGTGCATTTCTTAACGATAAGCAGATCTACACATCAAAACTGAAAGGTGAGTGCTATCTGTCTGAAATTCATTCAGCTAGTTGGGCAACCGATTTTGTGTAAGAATATGCATTATCTTTTGAGTTTACAGCTTCATTCCTTTTCATTGTTTTGTTCTGGATTGATTATGAATCGTCTAAAGTGAAATTATATTATATTAACTATAACCGCCACAAAATTTGACTTTTGTTTGTTAGAATAGGAGGGATTTGTTCATCCTCCATTCATCATTTTGGAACTAATTTCTGAAAGAAAGAACCTATCACTCTGCATTCATACATATTTTTGTGTGTAATATTGTAAGCGCTTTTGGTTTTTTCCAGTTGGGTTTAAGGATGTGAGTTAGCTCACGATTTTTTTAAGTGTGGGAAAGCGATAGTGTAGTCCATCATAAGTAGCTAATTTCTGCGGTAAACTAAGTGAAACATTCTTCACCAAGAAAATTAATTGTTATGATGTATTGCATAGTTTAAAAGGGCATGGATAAACAGACACCAAAGTATGTCTGTATTCATAATTTTGTTTACAAAGAGTTTCACCTTATTCGTATATTCCTCCTATAAAAGGTCATTCCTATCTATTGTATCTTGCCAACAGTCAAATTTGGAAAGTATTATCGTCATGACTCATTATTTGAGAAGTTTTATCACAGAAGTGAACAAATAGAGTGAAATGCTACCAGCAGCCTAACCATCACTACTAGGAAGTTTTCGGCTAATTTCGAAATTGGTTCTAAGGTTAGAGTTAAATAATTCCCCAAAATTATTGGCAGACTGCTTTAATTCAGCTTTAGGTGCTGACCTTTGGTATTTGAGCTAAAAGTTCTCAATCAAACATACAAGCCATTTGGTACACTGTCATGTAACATTTGGTTGTTCGTGCACTCACTCTAGTTGCCTAAGCAGATATCACTACCCTTCGTTTCTGATCTGGAGATATATTTCATATTTTGAACGATCAGTTTGTTGTCCTGATTTAGCTTCTAATAGGTGTCTGGTCATATTAAACAAGTACATTGAAGTTTGGTGAATACAAAGATACATTATCATACAATTATCCTGAGCACTTTTCGACAGCGTTCATATTCTGTATAGGGTAAAATAGACTTCTTGGTCAGGAATTGTTAAAAACTTTGTCACGATTTCGGACTGTTTTTGCACAAGCTATCTAAAGTCACTTCAGCAAACAGCGTTTACATCATGTAATTCAACAATTTTAATAGTCAGTTAGAATGATGATATATTATTATCTAATACTGCCAACTGATGCAATGAAGGAGTCTTAATACTTAGTATATTAAAGAGGATATACTAAATTACTATTTGGCCTATAATTAGAGACAGCTATTCTGGGCTTCCGAGCCATAGACGTAAGAAATGTGTGCGATTTACCATCACCATACTCATGGCACCGTGTGACTATCATGATGAACCAGAGTTTATCGTTGTGTATTGGTTACTAGTATTTCATTTTGGTCATTTGATTGTTTTCAACTTGGTTGACTTTTGATTCAGTGAAATTTTACTTTTCATTAGCAAAGTGATTAAAATCACCAGTATAAATTACCTTCTCGTAAAGGAGCATCGTAGCGTGGCAAATCATACTTTCATTTCGGTCAGCTGTGTGTAGTAACTTCACTGTTTACCTATCCATACTTGTAGTTTAATATACACCCCGAGCATTTTATGTACTCATCTTAATACTTATATTTTGTACGTATAGCTTTATTGCTCATGTAGTCGAACTAATCTTAAATTCTTACATCTATACTGTTTAGTGATGTATAACTCCGTGCCGTTGTGTTTTCAATAAATTTTGCCTTAACTACTACCCGTGTTTTGAGACCAAGCACTTGTCTTGTCCAAAGCTCATGAATTGTTTGTCAAAGATTTGACTGAATGATACTGAGAAAAAAAATGCAGTCATCGTTAGAAGTTCTACCAGTATGTGAAAATCATTAATAGCATAAAAAATATTTTGGATCAAGTTGTTGACAAGCACATTTTTTCTCAGATTTATCTCAGGCCTTGGTTTTAACCGACTGGGGAGGTGACCGAAGTCCAGAAGTCCTGGATGTCAAGTCAAACAATATGCGTCAAATCATATCGAAAGCTCGTGGGTGAGTCATGTGTTTGCACAATTAACTATGTACGATGTTTTGACATGTTATTTTTTAGTCTGATTGATGGTATAACCTTTTTGGCTAAAATGCATGAAGTGTCGGAAATCGCTGGTTTAAAATAATGGTCAGTACCATTGAAAATGTCCAGAAAAACCCATCTGAGCTTTAAATTTCACTTAGTATAGTCCAAAAGTCTTATCATTTCGTATCAACTGTTACTTTGTTTTTGTTTATTTTGAAAAGTAGACAGCCTACGTAGCTTTTACATAACATGAAGTATTACGACAGAGGTTCACATTTAAATTAACCAGCTCACAGAACACAAATAAATCAAAAATTATTTATCGGTTATTAAAGTCAGTTGTTCTGTTGAACGATCTCATGCATTCTTTGTGTTATTCATAACAATTATATCAGTAAAACAGTTAAAACTAGAAACAAATAGGGTGCAGCATCTTGAATCTTTTCTGAGTACTCTCTAAAAATAGTGTGAAAATGTTTTGGCTAAATGAAAGCAGACCGCTTCACAAATATCCTAATACCTTGGCGTGCAGTATTTGTACTGTTGAAGTTTCCACTTAGTCCTGTACAGCTTAGAGGAAGTTCATCCAGGAAAATAAGTTATTTAAAAATGGTAGTACCCTAATATCTTTGTTCTTTGTAAATCATGAGCTTTAGAATACTATCCTAGCTTTGTTGTTCTCAAGTCTTGAGTAATTTGTGGCTAAGCTTTGACGTCGGTTTATATATGATGATCAGTTTTACTCTACGTGGGAACGAGTTCGGTGTTAGATAGAACCCTGAAATCAACTGAATTTTCAGAGTAGAGCTATGCATGAAAGTGCAGCAGTTCAGGTGGCCACAATTCATAAAGGCATACATAAAAATAGAGAATGGAAAATGCAAAGAAACTATAATAAAGTGGAAATAAACGTCATTAGGAACAATTACATGGAGGATAATGAGGATTTAGTCGATATGGGAGCTCATAAAGAGTTAGTACATCTAACCCATGGAGGACCATTTTAAGTAATACCAAATCTTTAAACAAAACAGTTAATTCCAGCAAATAAACGAATAGTGATTCAATGAGTCAGGAATAATTTATCACATACAGAGTGGTATCGAAAACTTAACGAAAAGTTACTCAGGTTTGAAAAACGAAGAAACTTTGAATGTCTGCAACACAAGTTGTGCAATTTTACTTTCACATCGATTCTTAGTAGTTTGTACTAACACGGAGCAACTGCAAATAGTAAATAAATATCAAGTTATAGAAAGCGTTTTTCATAATTGGAAATAGTATTACATTGAGTCGCTATTGATTAAGAGATGTCACATTCAGATATTCAGGGTATACGGATGTCAAGAGTCAAACCATAAGGAGACCTTAATTCATGTTTCGTTTTCGTTGGGGCACATTTGAAAGTTGTGTCCTTAGCGTTGTGGAAGTGTATGTTGCCTTCCTGATTCACAGTTCTGTCAATTGATTAGATGTTACAAACGACCTCCTGTAGAACTAATTAATTCGATGGTCGTATAGTAGTTGTTATGGTTGTCTAGTTCTAAGTACAGTGATCTGGTTGTACTGATAATCTATATAATGTGATCATTGAGTAGCATCACGTTTTTGTACATAGTGTTGCAGTTTTTCGCCTAAACAAGTAAAAACATTTCTTGCCCAAGTAGCTGCAGAGCAGCTGCTGAATGCTTCTGAATGAAGACATCAGAGTGTTTCCTACTAATTAAGATAGCTGGCAATAAATCAAGTGAAACCAACGTAAGCCGTTCAATGACAAATGTGAATTTCATGTGACGCATCAGTAACTAATGAACTGTCATTGTCATTTACTCCTCTTAACTGTAGATTATATAGTTTGTGAGAAAAATGTAGCTGCTAATCTCTTTTTTCTCGTAACATGCATTACCAGACAACTAATAATTGACAAATACAGTTTGAGATAACAGGATGTGGATATTTGGCTTTTATTATTGGACACTTCACTGATCTCCATGCATGTGATGTGAAGTGCAGCTTGTTTCCTTTGAAACTGCTAACTTTGAAATATACTTTGTACATATTGTGAATCTCTTACCTGTGCATTTCTCTAGTGTGGATAGTATTCCTTTTCCCAAGGGATTGAAGTTTTAATGGTAATTATTTCATCACGTAGTTTTCTTACATTACGTAAGAGTACCTAACCAAGTTCTTTAATTTATTCATTATTTTTCCTAACATGTAATTTCATGTTTTGTTATCAGGTGATATTAACAACTCTTTTAGGTATTTCCACAACCTTTTAGAACACTATATAACGGTGCAGTTTTGAAGCGCAGTTAAGAAAATTATATTCTTCGCTTACCTGTGTCTTTATGGTCGAATTCGAATGTTAGTCAGCTGAAGCCCGACTTCTTTTTGGCTTTATTTCTTTCAGCAATTAGTTCTATGCCTACGAATGAATTTTCCACTATCTTGTAAATATTTCTTGACGAAGGCATAAATACCTTTTAGTTTCTTCACGTGGTTTTATTATAAAAAAATGTTTTCATCAGTGCTCTGTAGCAGCTCATCGTACAAATGTTATGCGAACTGTGTTATTTCCTGCTACAGGTTTATTCGCAGAAAACGTATCTTTTGTACATGACATTATTCCTTCATGTGATGCTTAATATCTGAAAACTGAAGTTTATCTTCCACTTCCTGTTCCATTTTAACTTTTAAGTCCGACGAAACTTTATTGACTGCTTCAAGACGATGTTTTGCCTGAACTTTATCACAACACAAAACCTAGGTTTACTCTTCCAGGGTTTTCGACTAATATATTGACTTTAGATAAAGCAGTAAGAAGACGTAATTTGTCTGAATCGTATAATGTATTTGCGCAACACATTTCGAACAATCTGATCACACAGGGACTTGTCATAGGAATATAAATGAAATTAATAAAGAGGTAAGAGGTGAGAAAATATACTTAGGTCAAGTTAAAAGGACATATTCAAGGTCAAAATAACAATGAAGACCACTAAACCGAATAGCAGAGGTAATAGTACATCTACTATCGTATCAAAACAAAATTTACCAAATAAGGTTTAATGTGATGACGAATTGTTTTTGAACGCATAAAGGTGGTTTAAACTTTCTAATTGCTAGGGCTTTCACAAACTTAAGGATACGCCCCAAACACGTTTTATAGATACGTTTAAAAGATCTGATAACATCAATTTTATGTCCTGTCTCTATAATATGTTTCGCAATAGAAGAGCTAGGTCACCTGTTCTCGCCATTAATAGGGTTCTGAAGATTCCATTTGTTTCTGGAGCCATTTAGAAATATGCTCTGAAGCCCTTACTTGAAGAGATCGATGAGTCCCCCCTATGTATGCGCGTTCACACGTACATTCAAATTGGTAAATACAGTGGGATGTGACGTCATTTTTCGCATGTTCAAAAGGCTTTAATAGATATATTGGCTCCACATTCTCAATTATTATGATATTGGCTGCATAAAAAGTCTTTTTGACAGCATCGTTCAATCTTTGTCTACTTATCAAGCAGCTATGATACCCGGTATACGGTAGCTTTATGTCCACGTCTTTCTTAGGGGTGAGTTGCAGAGTGGGTCTTGGTGTTCTGACTACTTTATATCTCCTGATGAACTTGTCTGGATAATTGTTATCAACCAGAGTTTGTGTCAACTTTCTTTCTTCTTCATCAAGTGTGTCTTCAGTGCATATTCGTTGGATTCTAATGAAGTGGCGAAAAATGACGTCACATCCCACTGTATTTACCAATTTGAATGTACGTGTGAACGCGCATACATAGGGGGGACTCATCGATCTCTTCAAGTAAGGGCTTCAGAGCATATTTCTAAATGGCTCCAGAAACAAATGGAATCTTCAGAACCTATTAATGGCGAGAACAGGTGACCTAGCTCTTCTATTGCGAAACATATTATAGAGACAGGATATAAAATTGATGTTATCAGATCTTTTAAATGTATCTGTAAAACGTGTTTGGGGCATATCCTTAAGTTTGTGAAAGCCCTAGCAATTAGAAAGTTTAAACCACCTTTATGCGTTCAAAAACAATTCGTCATCACATTAAACCTTATTTGGTAAATTTTGTTTTGATACGATAGTAGATGTACTATTACCTATGCTATTCGGTTTAGTGGTCTTCATTGTTATTTTGACCTTGAATATGTCCTTTTAACTTGACCTAAGTATATTTTCTCACCTCTTACCTTTTTATTAATTTCATTTATATTACTATGACAAATCCCTGTGTGATCAGATTGTTCGAAATGTGTTGCGCAAATACATTATACGATTCAGACAAATTACGTCTTCTTATTGCTTTATCTAAATTCATAAAGGGAACTAATTGTTTTAAATATATTGGCGACAATAGGTCGTAATAGGCTATCCAAATTTATACATTTAATACATTAAATAGCGAAACGTCAGTAAAAACAATATCGTTTTGTTTTTCATTCATTGGGAAATACAAAAACCTTTATTATAATGATTATACATTTATTCCCCTTAATGAATTTGAACAAAGCAAGAACTACAGTTTAGCAGAATAAAATGGTACCACCTTTTATTTCGTTGCCTTCTCGTCAGCTGCTTACAGGGCAATTGAACTCTGTGCAAGTATGTTAAAATTGTTTTGTAGATACATTTAATAATGTCTTTGCCCTGTAAGCAGCTGACGAGAAGGCAACGAAATAAAAGATGGTACCATTTTATTCTGCTAAAACTGTAGTTCTTGCTTTGTTCATATCCAAATTTAATCCATCGGTGTAACGATACCGCTTTACATAGAATATTCTTTTCCCATTTAGTGAATATTATAAAACGTTTTATTTCTGTTTAGTAAGAGAAATTAAAACGGAATACCTGAACACTTACAAATTGTGTGCAACTAATTTAGTACTACTTCATATTCTGACGAAATGAACTATTGAAGGTCATATTAAATTATTTCTGTGAAATATTTTCAACTTTGTATCAAACTAATGCTAGTAACATGTGAAAAAAAAAGTATTAGGATGTATTGTAAAATAGCGTTATGTCAATGTACTATTATATGTCCTGATGATTACTTTCATATGTGTAAGTTATAGCCTAATCGTGTAATCGCCATTAATTTACCTATCCTAAATAGCCTCAACTGAATATTTGAAAGGGCAGTGTCAAATGGAAAATGATATATTGCAGTTTATCGTTAATAAACTGTTAGAAAATAAATATATTTAGCAGTTATGCAAGCCATTATATATTGAATCATAAAATCCACTTATCACTTGGATTTTCAGCTGCTGAAATCAAGTTTGGTGGTAATGATATACGTGCATGTATGTATCTACAGTATCAAAATCCATTACCTATAACCGACTAATGGAAATAATACTATTAGTCGGTCAAATTGTAGACTTCTTTCAAGGAGCGCTGAAAATTAACAAAACTGTCAGGAGAAACTTTCAGTAACAGAATAATATATTGAATCAGTCATGTAATGATGATATTTTGACGAAATGCGGTTTCATTTTAAATTGACACCGAATGTAGAAACAATTCACTTTTCTGCAACGAACTATCAAAGTTAAACGAAACTAGAATTTCAACCGATGTAATAAGTGTAAATAAATCAGAAAATATATTCCAGATTATTACGAAAGCTCGTGCCTATCCAAAAAGCGTTGCCACACTGCATGGACAATGGTGTATGAATTGTCTAGTGTACTAAACGAACCAATTAGTTCTGACAAAAGCGTTCCGAATAATTTTTGTTCAGCTAAGTGATCTCAGATTACAATAAGTGCAAAAACATCCAGTATATATAAGCAGTGTATATTTACGTGTTCATAGTGGTAATTAATGTAAACGATGTGTTTTTCGTTTTTTGAATAGCGTTATTAGAAGACAGAGTTTATCTGAAAAATGTGATTTATGTGTCTAATACATTTTGAACAATCTGATCACACACTTGTCAAATCAGTTTATGTAAAGAATAAAATGAAAATTAAAATAAACAAAATTACACGGGATTTAAGAATATGAAGGGTAATATTTTGATTTGACGCTAGTAACTAGTGTGATGCATCTAGTTCTCTCTTTGGTGCAGACTGAATTCTATCAGTCAGGTTGTAATGTGGCCTCCAACCATCTAATATCATCACAAACAATGTACACCGTGATGGCGAGCTACCTAGAATGGTGGCCACATTACAACCTGACTGATAGAATTCCATCTGCACCAAAGAGAGAACTAGACGCATCACACTAGTTACTAGTGTGAAATCAAAAATATCCACTACAGTCCTATAGGAGGTCATTGGTAACGTCTCTGACTGCAGCACTGGGTGACGCGGGTTCGAATCTCAGAAGGGACATGAGTTCCTTCAAGGTAGCAGATATGCCTTGCTGAAGAGTGCCAACTAGCACGAAACCTAGGTCCAAGGCTTCCTGTGGCCGATTTCCTCCAACCATCTAATATCATCACAATGAAGGATAATAATTATCAATTCGTTCCGTAATACAACCACATAAGTATTACCAAGGTACACAGAGAGAGTGAGAGACTTAACTTTACGAATAGCTATCGCTTCAGCTTATTTCAGTATGCTCCGGTGACTATATTTGTAGATCATCTTGAAGGCTGCTCTGATATTAATCTCCATATTTATATCAATTAAATGTTTTGCTTCAGCTAAAGTTGCTACTCTCTCACCTGCGTGTATCGAGGTATCACAGTCCACTTGTTTTTCTATGCATTTGGGAATAAAGCTATTATTATTATTATTATTATTATTATTATTATTATTATTATTATTATTATTATTATTATTGTTACATATTTTCTCACCCTCACACTCAGAGCGCGATTACTCCTCCCTGTGTACATATGACCATACACACACACACACACACATGTAAATTTGTATATGTAATGGAATGTGACAACAACCAGTTGTGCGATGTTTAGGCTTGTAGCAGAGCGAATTTTTGACTTTCTCCTTAACCTTAGATAAGTTTTACGGTTGACCGAATTGAGTTCCAGTCTTAAATTCCTACTATTTATTTCCTGATTGTAATTTGATTTGATGTAGGCATCTTGCTTTAGGACAGAATAGACTGTAGGCTTTAAAGCTAACTAACCTCTAAACCAATTCAAAAACTTCAAAGGATATCCGTCAGTGTTTTATTCTCATCATATAAAGTATCAGAAGTACAATTACACTGAATCCTCTGGTTATATTAACAAAAGTAGTATTAATCATTATCCTTCATACTCTTAAATCCCGTATAGGTAGGTAGTAACCTGGGGTTGTAGTGAGAAGTCGTGACCAGTAGGGCGCAGCAGGTCGGGCGTGAGGACAAATACTCGCCGAAGACATTGGCTAGGGGTCGCGCTATGTCGTGAATTGGCAGAAGTTAGAATTCATGGACCATTGGATCGGGTCCCAGTGGCTTAATGGTATACGAGCTCGCCTTGTAACCAGAAGGTCCTGGGTTCGAATCCCGGTGGGCGCGTACTGTTGAAGAGTCCCAAACAGCTGTCCAGTACTCCCAGGTTTTCCAATGGTTCTCTAACTAATGTCAGCTCATAATGAAAATCCTGTAACCAATCGAATCCCTACAAACCAACACATAAATATTTGTTTATTTTAATTAGACTTTTATTTTTCATATAAATTAATTTGACAAGTAAATATTTGATCAAATTGTTCAAAATGTATTGCGCAAATAAATAAACCTTGTCTTCTAATAATGGAAAGTGTCTAGTAAGAATAAATTTGATCGGCTAAAAATATCACAACAACTCTGCAACACATAAGCTGCTGCGATATATCATAACTTGTTATTTTATCTATTTTGTCAAGAAAATGTGATGCCGCCATGTTACTTCACTGCGGGCTATTCTACTTTTTTTTATTATAAGCAGCTTGTTATTTAACTTCAGTAATGTTGGATAGACTATCATTTGATTCCTTAAGTATTATTAATAACCATCCTAATTTTGAATGTGCTGTATATTACAGTGCTATGTGGTGGTATATTTCTGGTTAGCGAGAATAAATATTTTTTTTAAAAAAAGCACTACTGGCATTTAAGCGCTTGGGTGACTTGAACAACTATTTTCCCCTTATATGAATTTTACATGTAGTTTTGAAATAGATAAAGACATAGATTACTACCAATGTTTCTTGTTCATCATTTCACTAACTGAATTGATCTAAGTAGATATTTTTTTTTTAAAATTTTACAAACACAGAGTACGTACAATGGGTTCAGCAGCTTTGCATATGTGTCAAATTGCTGCTGGTAATGGTGATGTGTTCTTTGAATTTGGAATTCATTGTTGGGATTATGCTGCAGCTATACTCATTGTTCGTGAAGCAGGAGGTTACTGTTGTAACTTTGACGGTGGGTTATATATTAATTTTCGTCTTCCCTATTTCTATCATTAATTAAATTTTGAGTGTTTTGGTAAGGATAAGTGAACGGACTAACCGAGAACATTAGCTGAATTCTGGTCGTTGCATTGGTTTGTTAATTTATGCTAGACTGCATAAAACCAAGCAAATTCCTTCATTGTAAAGAACCGAATTTGAAGTAAATGTCTGATCTAATAATGCTGTCAAATGATGAACTATACTTTAGTCAACTTTTTCAGATCGAATAACCTTTCTGTTATTAGATGTTATTCTTGCATGTACTTGTACTAATGAGGTTTACAGAAAGGTGTACGTTTCAAACTGAGTACAACTTCGTGACCAGGTTCGCTTTCTTATTTAACGTTACAAGCAATATCTGTTTTGTAGAAATCACCTTTATGTAAACCTCATTGGTACAAGTAAATCCTTAACAACCTTAGTTCTCCTCTTTTCGATGAACCCGTCATTCACTAATGATTTTATATATTCTTGGACTATTTGGATATTACGCTCTGTATAACTAACGTCAGCGTGTGAAATGCTACATTGGCAGAAAGCAAGGCGATAGCCGTAGTCTCTTTCCTCTCCTTTTACTCCGACCCAGCACAAGTCGAAATATCTAACGCTAGTCGCAGAATAGTTTACATTATCTTCTGTAGAGCTCATATCATTCGATACGAATAACGACTTTCCGTGAATAAGATAATACTTAATAATGCTTTACAATCAACCTACTGATTAGTAAAGTCTATACTTAGTATTTTTCCAAAGAAGGATTGAGTTATTCACCAGAATACCTTTTTGGTATATTAATATTATAGGGTGTTTGTAATTACCTTACTGCTTAACCTGTTCTCCTATATCATATAAAATAAGGAAAATATAATCATGAGGTTACATTAGAGCTTGTTACTTTCTTTAAAAGCAAATTTTCACGACTAGTGACTGAACTTAATCCCAACCAGTAAGCATGATTACATGGTCGTTCAGTAAAAATTGACTGTGAAAAATCCAAAGGAGTATTTGACATGCATTTCAGTCTTTTATTTTTCTAACTTGTTTTTCTAAATACCATCTTTGTTAAAGGCTAGAAACTCCACTAGAAAGGCGAAGACTAGCAAGACATTAGATTCCAGTCAGTTGTCTCGTCTTTTATGGATACTGGTTACGTCACCGTTCAAACTGAACAAGTTTATAGATAAGGCATGAGGATATCCTGGACTGATTCTGATTTATTATTATATTCAAGTCTAAATTAACAGACCGTAAACGTATGTTTTAAACCATTACTCTAGTAGTTGTCATCTTAAACTGCCTTATTACATCAGCGAATTTCGATGTGACTGGTTGGTAGATTACTGATTGAATATCGACTCCTGATATATAAGGTGATACGGAATAAGATACTGGTACTATCGAACGACTAACGCTTTTATGTTTAAGTTCCACTCAGTAAGAAGATTTTATTACTAAATATAAAATAAATTGATTTTGTTTAATTTAATAGTATTTACCACACCTATATAACAATACACTGTTTATAACCGTGCAGTTTTATCCTAACGTCTCTAGTCGTTTTCACTGTATTCAGCCTGATATCTAGCGACAAACTTGTATGTTTCCCCAAATTCCCTATAGGGAATCCAGAAAGTGCTTGACCGTTTGCATAAATAGTGTCATCCTGTTCAGGTTTCACAAATAGAGTTACCAGTTAGAAAGATGTTCACTTCATATGAAGTTTTTCTTTTCAAATAATTGTGTATACGTCGGAGATTTTTAACTTTATCACTTTATATGTATAAGACTTGGCCACTATGGTAGTGTGTAATTCCAAATTAATTTATTTATTGTGGATATGTCACACAGTGAAACAATGTTATCTAGTCGATGACGTCTGGAACAAAGTCTGTTGTTGGTAATCATATCACTTATGACATGTTATCAATTGATATGATTATGAACAATAAAATGTGTTCAAAACTTCATCCAGTAAACAACACTGATTTACTGTGTGATATTTTCTGTATACAAATAAATATGGAGTATATCCTTTCATCCTTAATTTTTTTTTTGGTGATTGAATCTCAATTTGATGGCTATTTGTGTAGTATACTGATGATGCTATCCGCATTCTTACTTTTTTGTACCAGGTAAACCTGTAGACCTAATGGCAAGGAATGTAATATGCGCAGGGACACAGGAATTAGCGAACGCGGTCATCCCTCTTATTCGACCAGTTGACTATGCAAGGGATTAATTTTAAGAAGTGAGAAGTGAACAAACTGCAACAAAAAAAAAAATATTTAGAATTAAAATTATAAACAAAAGAAACCATCCATTACTAAGATCGCGTACAAATGCAAGCATGAGAAAATATGCCATATCAGATTTACTTCTTTTCGAAAGTTTATTGTATCACTTTTATATCTTTTCACTGTAGCATTTATCTGTGTATGTAATGAAATTGTGCATGCGTGCAGCTTTTGGGTGTCTATCTTTTTCTTTTTTTTTTATGCTAACTGTACAATTGAACACTTCTCTGAAAAATAAATTCTGAGGAAAAAAGGAAAACTTTGAACAGTTACCAAATATGTTAGAGAGTAGAATCAACAGATCTTTATTGAACTCGTCTTACATATTATTTTTTTCTTAATTTCTATTATATAGTTTGGTAATTTTTTTTGTCTATCGTAACAATTAGCTGCTATTTTCGTATTATCAGTTATTCTTGTGGTATTTCAGTTTTTATACAAGTAAGAACTTACAGAGATTTATATATTCAGAGTGTAAGTTAAGTGTAGGAAAGATGAAAAACAAAAAGTAATAATAATTAATTCGGATTAATAATATAATCTGTAGTTTTTGTTTGCAATTTCTTTTTTTCTTTTTTTGCTGTCTAACTTCGGTTTGTATTTGATTAAATAAATACTCATGAATCCGTTTGAATTATTCAAGGGATGATGGTCAATCCAATAAGCTGATTGATTGCATTCAACACAACTGTTCTGAAAGTTTTACTGCCTTTTCAAGATTACACATTTTATAGTTGAACAATCTAACCTTCGCCTAACCATCGCCTCCCCCGACGGGCATTGCTACCTGATATAGGTGCAGGTTGGGAAAGAGTAAGTGGTGGCCAAACAAAAAAATGGCATCAATCCATGAAATCCATAACAGTTAAACTGAGTCAGGTAGGGAGATGCAGACTTCCGCGTTGGGGCCCTCGGGACTCTAAGAATCAATGGCTGGAGACAATAGGTGACATGGCTCAAAATCGTTGTCAATGGCTTACGCAGATTTATTCAGTCTCTGTAATCTTTCATATTCCTTTCTACCATTACTCATTCTGTTTCACTCTTATACTTGTCAAAACTCTATTGATTCTCTTTACTCATCTTCTTGTCTACGTTTGTGTGCTCTTTTGAACGTGGCAACTCGAACTGCTGCACTTCGGTGCCAAGTTCTGTGTTGAATCCAGCCAGCCAGCCGGCTTTTCAGAATAGATATACAACTGGTGTCACAACAGTATAGAAGATGTCTTCTCGGCTGTATTTCATTTCTAATAATTACGGAGTATGTTGAGTGAAACACTACAGTTTATTTATTATTATTTCTCATACATTAATCCAATGAAAAAAAAGTAGCTACTAGTGCGATCAAGTAAACTAAGATGACTGAAACATTTATGCAGTGTGTCTAATGGACCAATTTACTAGAATTATATTTTTAATGGTTGTTTACAAATGGTGGCAATTCACGAATACATAAGTAGTTGGGTTGGGGCTGTTTGATCTAGGCACTTGACTTCCAATTAGCGAGTCATGGTTACGAAACCCGCTCCCATGCACCAAGATTTAGGCAGCCCCGGCTAGAATAACCAGCCCTCTTACAATAGGCGTGATACATTGTCAACTGCATTGAGTCTCAAGTGGTTGTTAATTACCCTTGATGTATTAGCAACCATTAAATATATTTTTATAATAAACTAAGATGGCTCTTTTTTATATTGCTGTCTAGCAGTTCCTGTCTGCAGAAAACTCAAAATACTAGTTCTCAAAAGATACCCATTTGGACATCGAATAAATAAGACATTCCGGTGATTTGGTTCACTTAGCCATACAATTGCAATTATGTATACTTTGTCTGTGTGCATTCAGTTTGTGAAGCACTCCAGAAAAACGAATCAGTCTAGAATACTATTCACATCACCTAAATATTTTGGGATGGTGAAGATTAACCAGAAAATATAACTAAAAGTGGGAAGATTAGTGAGTTTGGACAAGAAGTTGCGTATGAGCACAAGGCATACACTAGATGGAAGTTTTAATACTAGCATTTATAAGAAACCATCACATTCTAACAGGTACTTAGACTTTGAATCATCCCACCCAAAATGGGTAAAGATGGGCAAAAGAGTCAGGAGTCTGACCCAAACGTCAGACAATTTAACGAAGATATGCGTCAAATGAGGGGAACAGTATTACGAAATGACTTCCCACTTCAATTCATTTAAAATTTTATCAAGACCAATTGGAAAAATTGCAGTACTAATGTAAACAATAAAAATAATATAAATAACAGAATTTAAGGCGTCGATAGTACTATTGTGTTAAGAAGGCACATCAAAGGCTCTACCTAGGACCCACAATAAGGTTCGGAATAGGTTAGTATCTTTAAAAACCAACTGACTGGGGTAAACCTTGTCGTCTTAAGGATCCAATAAGGAATAATAATATCATCTACTAAATAGCATTTCAATTATATATGTCAAACTAGTAGATCGAATGCAGTCAGTTTATCAGAACATAAGGATTCAGCTAGATCTAGAATCGTTGACCCCACTGAGTTGAACAATCTTGGAGGAAGCTTGCTCATTGTCATCCATGCACTTACATGTAATCACACAATGTGATGGGTTAAGATAAAATGTTACAAATATAGTTAGGTGGGGGGTTGATTACTGACACTGTATTAATCGAGTCAACAGCAAACACATACAGTCAAATTAACGCAACACTTATCCCGCCGGTGGCATACCTGTTATATGACTCTCGCCGACGCACACCTGAAAACAATGGTCGGCCTGAAAATTATGCGCTACCGATATCACATGCTGGAAATTCCATACTTGTACCAAAAATACGGTGTGGAATCAAGCTATAATAAGAAAAAATCAAAAAGACAAAGGATTTCGACAACTATATGAAGAAATTAAGGTCATGTGAATAGAGTAATATGTTTACGAGGAACGAACTGTGCTCCAAATGTCAGCATTACTATGAGTTATATCATATCGTCTTACCTAGTATGGAATTTTCAAAGTTTTGTTTAGATATTGGAGAATTAATTATCAAGTTGTTTTTTTCCTTCACATTCCCCAGTGGAACATAGGGCTTCAAGCTAATGACTTGAAGTTTTTTTAGCAGTGTTTATTTTAGAGGATGGGGTTGCTAGCCTCATGCCCAACCTTCCCTCTTTACCAGCACTATTTCTGGCTTAGCGAGGTAAAGGAGTGCGCCGGCCGGGGATCGAACCCCGTACCATATGCATGGTCGGTGAGCGTCCTAACCGCTATGCCACCGACGCACACTTATCAAGTGATAGTAATAAATGTTATCAAAGTCCAAAAAATCAAGGACTTGCAGTCCACTACAATGTCCATATTCCATCCTTAAGTTAGGTATCATAGGATCGCATTATCTCAAACTAGAAAGCTTTCGAATTGTGTAGGATATGGGTGTGAGTGTTGTATTTAGTTGTGATAATAATGTAGGCTTACACTTATAAAATTCAACGCATTTATAGGCTAATAATTTTATCAAATTATTGAACTTAATTCTGCATCTGCTGGAAGAATATACAATAGTGTTTTGTAAAATCTACTATCTTGTTTTATTTTTTAAGGACAATTAGATTATATGGTTGATAGATAACAGCCGGGCCACAGGTTCAGTGAACCAAACTAAATGTTTTTATCTACTCTACACTTCCCAGCGTTTGACTTTCCCTATTAAGCAGAAGGTCTTAACACAAACTTGTTTTTCACTCTAAGACATCTATCAATTCCTTGAGTTCCAAGTGGAACAAAGGACTTCAGCACCACATCTCCATTTCACTCTGTTATCTGCAGTCATTCTTAGCTGGCCCCGCGATTACCCATAATCTTCCACCTCTTCTGTGTCACTCTGAGACACCCAACTCGGTTCATATTAGGGTTCCATTGCAGTACCTAGTGCGTGATGTCACTTCACAGTCTCCTCAGTGTATGCACAATTCGGCTCCATTTTCTCATCTGTGCCCCCCCCCCTGTAATTGAAACGATGCTACCTAGATAAATGAAAGAGGTGAATTCCTTTCGATTTCTCCGAGTAACGGTGACGGTTGTAAAGTTAAACTAGGTAACTCCGCCGCCTCCATCTTATACATGTTCACTTGAAGACCAATCACTGCTGCTTTCCATCAATATTCTCCTGAAAAAAGTCCATATTCGTAGTTTTCGGGGAATTCGCAGCGAAGATTTCCTACATAAACCATATATCCTTTAGAGGTTCCAAGCTTACCTCGTGTCGCAATAAAGGATTCCTGCATGCATGATACTAATGAAATGAATAAAGTATATATTACTATTACCACTAATACTAATACTATTATTATTATTTTTACTCCCTTGAGTGCCAAGAGGAACATATAGTTTCTATAACACGTCTCCATTTTCTCCTGTTCTCTGCAGTCCTCTTCATCTAGGCCCACGATTTCCCATCTCCTCCTCACACAGTCTTCCCCATGTCACGCTCAGACGCCAAGCTGTCCGTTTCCCACTGGGAATCCAATCGAAGGACTAGTGCGTGATGTCGCCCAGCAGGGTCTCCTCAGAACGTGTCCGTTGTATCTCCATTTTCCTTGGTATATTTATTGAGTAATAGGCACTTGAATGGTTCGTTTCTAGAGTTTCTATCATATCAACTTGATATGATTATGAGCAATAGTTTGTGCTTGAAACGACATCATTTAATATTATGGTACAACACTGTGTGATTTATCAAAATAAAAATATTATCCATAATGGAGTTATACTTCACCACAGTGCCCAAGCTTTGTACTTATTCAGAACAAAATACTTAGAGCGAACAATTGTTTTCAATAAATTCTCCTTCAGGCTGTACAAATAAATATCCATTAATTTAAACATACGTTAGCCAGTAAAGGCAAACTAGAATTGTATCAGAAAGTGTATTGTGGAACAAGTATAAGATGGGGTGGAACAATAGTCAGTTAGTTTTTTAGTATGCATGGTCAGTGAGAACATGAGATAAAATGAGATGAAATTATTTAGTTTAATGATGTGTGTGTACATACATAAATATAGTCAACAGAAAATTACATGTTTGGAAAGTGAGTGTATTCAGGGTGTGTGAGACAGTATGCAAATAAACCAACGAATGTGGCGGACTAGACATAAGTTCAAGGTCGAAAATAACGACAATAAAAATGATTGTAAAGTAATAACGATGACAGGGTGTAAAATTACAAGAACTATTGGTTAATGATTGCCATTACTGACTATTGTATGCTTAAATT